TTCTTTGCAGTTTAGTGAACCTCTGCCTAGCTTTACTTTTGACAAACTCTGCCTCTCAAAGATGCTCTTTTTATACCCCATCATGTTGCCGCCCTGTTGCCAGATAACCTAACTAGTTGAAAAATATTCCCCCAGCTGTTTCTTTTAGTATCACTTACTTGTCCACCCTTTTGTTGCCCTGTCCCAACTTTTTGAGATGTGTTGCTGCCTTCAAAAATCAACCAATTTTTATGATGAAATGATAAAATGTCTCAGTTTAAATGTTTGATATGTTTTCTATGTTATGTCATGAATAAAACATGGGCTAAATTGCCATTGGGGTGCAAAGCTAGAGGACAGTGTTAAGCAGAGGGAAATTTGTAGACTTCAGTCAAAAACCAACTGAGAATCTTGAATCTGAATACTGTGTTTCATCAAAAAACATGTTGATATGATTTCTTGAGAACAGCACAAGTTGTTCATTTTTTGTTTAACATCATACTATCTTTTTAAGGCCCACGTTTTCCCTGTGGAGAAAAACCACAGGGAACGTGGATGTCCGCAAAGATTACGGAAACTTTAAGAGCTGTTACAAACATAGGTCAGCGTTTCCAAATATTAACTTTTACTGAGTGAACATTCCAAATGCATGGTCACCGTAAACAAACAAAATAGCTAGTCACTTGAAAACTCTTCTTTTAGGCTAGTTATCTCTCTCATATATATGAGATATGCACTGCTGATATATGCACATTATGTAAGACTTTGACTTACCCACAAGTTGCTCTGCTTAATGTTGCTTAAGTTATGACCAATGTATGGTGAGGTGGAAAGTGCATTTATTTTAAAATGGACCAATTTTTTTAATGCCTATGAATGTACCCTCATCACACACACACACACACACACACACACACACACACACACACACACACACACACACACCTCCAGCAACTGTGTTTCCTATTAACAGCATATTTTACATACTATCATTTATGATCTTTAATATTTACTAAAGAAGAATAATACTGAATGACTAATTTTACAGTACGTGGCTTTTCTCCTCAAGAGTCAACTTTGCCGTAAGTCCCTTCTGGTGGTCGGTAGCACTTGGGAAAGGCCATCAGCTGCAGCATGTTGAAGGCATATTTCCTGCATTTAATATTCTTTTGAACATTCTCAATGCGACATCCTTCTCTGATGATCAAATGATGAAGGTGAAAGGTGGAAAAAAGAGAACAAAAAAGTAAACATGAGTGAGGTTTAAAATTAAGTTTGTGGTATTAATGATATACACGCCTTCAAAAAACAAACAAAAAAAAAGAACCTGAACATTTTGTGCACTACTTTGTGGCTGCTTTGGGATAAAGAAAGCACAAAACTATGCAGTAAATATGGGATCCGTAGTGTTGTTGTTTGCACATTAGTTTGTAAGTGAAAGGTTCCTGGTTCAGTTCTTGCTAGAGACACAAATCCCCCAAGGGTTTATGTCAGGAGGGGAATTTAGTGTGTCAAATCAAACCTGCAGAGCAACCTGCTGTGGGGCGAATAGTTCTTACAAGTATTCTTGGATAAATGGTTCTCAGAGAGATGTAAATGAAACTGAAGATTTTTCACACAGCTGTGAAACAATACAAGAGAGTGTCGTGGTTAGTGAAATACATATTGAGCACAATTGAGATCAGTCTATTGGTGCAGGCCTCCACAACCGGCTAAGTTTCTCCTGTGGGAATTAATTGCCCAACCAAACTCGTGAGTTGGAAGTCAGGATAGGATACTAAACAAAATGTCACCAAGGAGAAAACATGCATAAAATCTCACTTCCAGGCCATTTGATGGGCTAATTATTCACATTTTCATACATTCTCCATGTGGGAATTAAAGGCATGCAAAACAAGGAAGGCTTTTAACAATTCTGATGAGACATTTTCTGTTGTCCCATTGATTTGTAAGTCCAGTTTCATGCAATAGTCAAATGCATTTCAAAGCAAACATGAATGGCTTGTTGCTTGTTGCTGCTGTTGGTGGTGGTTCATACACATATATATCAGCACCCAGCTGTTTTGTCCAAACTGACCCTTGTATTCATTTAGATCAACATATAGTGTATAAGTCAAAGGTATGTGGTTAAACCACCTGACTATTAAAAGTTAATCCTCTCCCTCAACCAGTCCAAATCCAGAATTTTGAATGGCTATTGAGAAATAGTATTGAGTCTGACCGGGGTAATGCTAAAAGGAGAAGGCAAGTTTCCCAGCGGTCTAGATAACCCATTAAAAACATGTATTTTTAACAGAACAGCAGGACTCTTAACCAAAAAGATCTATGACCGTTTGACCCATGTGGAGCTAGCTTGGCATTTAAATCAACTGTTCTGTGTTCAACCCTCCCATCTGAAGCTCTGCAGTACAGCACATCCACTCCACAGATCCACACACAAACTCTGATGTCTGTTTGTCTCCGTCTCTGCTATACTCAAACTGTGGAACACTTGGCCAGCCTTAACCTTATGCACAGTTTCCATCTACGCCAGTCTCCCGTTGCCTTCAGTGAGTTATAAACATTTTGTTCCATTCCAAACTGGACACAAGTCAGAAAAAAGTAGACCCAAAAGCAGGACACTGTGGCACGTTGGAGGACAGCTTTTGGGACTGTGCTAGCTTCAGTTAGTTCAAGTAGTTACACAACTTCTAGAGAAGCACAGTGTAACGCTGCAAGCAAGGCAACTGTCTGATCTTTGAGAATGACGGCTTATGATATCAATTACCAGTACCCCCCCCCCCCAAAAAAACAAAAACCAAAACACAGTAAAATAATAAGAACCTCGACAGTTCAGGAGTCAATGGTCAATGAACCGTACATCTCATATGTAGACGTGTCATCTGGAAAAAGGTTTATTTTTTATTCTTGCAGTCCCGCAAGCACAAAAGAATGTGTGCATGAGAAGCCGTGGGAACATGAGCTACACCCAGTTATGATTTGAACTCTTACTGTATGTGTGCAGAGGCATGTATTTCAATATATATACAGTATGACTACTTAAGAAATGCCCACAGGGTTAGGAAGAGCTCAATGCACTGCAGACAATTACATGTCAGTAGATGAAACAAAAACACACAGCCCCACAAACAGTGCACCACATATACAGAAACGCTATCAATCAAAGACTGTCTTCAGTTTATTTAGACTGTACAAATGCCAGAGATCTTTCAAAATAATTTTTATGTTTGTTTTTGTTGTTTGATTAATATGTCTGTATATTTAAAAGAGTTTCTAATGTTTAAAAAATGTTCCATCTGTTATTCTTGTGTGTTATGACTAGGGATGGGTACCTGTATCCGGTTCTGACATAAACGGTAGTAACCAGACCGAAAAGCAGCGCAGATTTCGGTGCTTTATTTCGGTGCTTTTTTTTTCCTGAGATGTCATACACTTCGGATTCTGGGCAATCATTTTACCTTTGCAAGCGTAGTAGGCGGGCCCAGGTATGTACGTTCTTTTAGAGCAGAGCTACAGATTAAAAATGCCCAAGGCGAAGCGGTCAAAGTCTGGCTGTACTTCACAGCAAAAGATGCAAACTCAGCAGCCTGCAACAAGTGCTTTAAGCTGATACTGTGCAAAGGAGGTAACGCCTCGAATCTGATGAAACACCTGGCGACGTATAGGATTTTTTAAAAGCCGAGAAATGCGCCGTATTTGATAGCTTGCTGCGAGACCTCACATTGAGCACATCTACTGCGGGTGTGATGCGTGTTATCGGACCCGGAGTTAGCAACATCCTGCAAAAAACCCGAAAAGTAGAGTCCTGGCCCCTAGCCCTGCCAGTGTAGCAGAAATGATGATGGATGATGATGGCAGCAGCAGCCGTTCTTCTTCATACATTCTTATATAGTTCTATATTGTGTATTTTGTTGTACAGTTATTTTATTTTCAACTTTAATTTATATATTTTATCTTATTCTTTCCCAGTTAAATTTACCCTTCATTCTAATTTGTGTTGTACAGTTATTTCATTTTTAACCTTAATTTATATTTTATTCCTTCCTAGTTAAATTTACCCTTTTTAATTTTTCATATTTATTTCCTATCTTATTCATAGCCTTTCCTTTTTTGTTTTCTTTAGGTCACGAGCAGTTGTCCAAGCATTTCACTACATATCGTACTGTGTATGACTGTGTACGTGACAAATAAAATTTGAATTTGAATTTTGAATAGCAGCAGCCGTCTTCTCTGCGTGAGTAGCTTAATGTTGTTCGTGTGTAATTTACGTTGAGTAGGCTAACCACGTTATTACATTAATGCATGTAAGGTGAACTAGCAAACATCATCATAGCTACATGCGGCTGTCCTCTTGTTTGATGGCAGATACTCCCTTCACCCTGGCCAAAAAGGCTAAAATGACCAAAGAAAAAGTGGAAAACAGTTAAACATGAGAGGTTTTTGGACAAAGTTTGTGTTTTTTCCATTGTTTAAGCACTGCTTCCAGCCAAGAGTGATACCATATATGCCCCATAGCTGCAGAAAAGGCTAACATTGTTATCTTTTTACAAAAAAACAGCTGAACATGAGAGGTTTTTGGACCACTTTTGTGTTCTCCATTCTTTAAGCACCGGTTTGAGCACCGTTTAAAAAGTACCGGTTTGGTACTGGTATCGGATAAAACCTAAACGATACCCATCCCTAGTTATGTCATCACACACAAGAATAACATAAGTTTCTATGGTGCCGTGTGTGTGTGTGTGTCAATTTCTGTTCTCCTTCACATTTTCCAAAGCTGTCCATTGGAGTCTGGCCTCCAGGCCTTGTGTTTGACATCGCTGCTTTAGTTCATATAGTAACGTATAGCTTCTAAAAGCTACAAACACTGTTTATAGTAATATTGGTGGTCTTTGTAAAATGTGAAGAAAAATCTGAAATCAGCCTAATGCCCTCGCTGTCTAGCCCCAGATGTTTTTTCCTTAGCCTCAGATCTCCAGAATAAAAATAAGTCAAATGTTTATTAAAGGAAAGGTGTCTGTTTGTCAGCAGCTGTAAACCACTGAATGAGCTCCATTCAGTTCAGATGAACAAATTGGTGGCTGCTAACCTGCTAAGCGCTTCAACAATGGGTGTAAGAAGCTTTCTAAAAAAGTTAATTCTACCTTGTGACAGGAATGTTGCTTGTGCATCAAAATGACTTCACATGCAGATATATTTGAGATATGTTTCACAGATCACAGGCCAACAAGTCATTTACAACAGTACGTAAATACGGGCCACACAACACCGGCTTCAGATGTAAACTCAGGTTGGTGAGTCAGTAAGTGCTTCTAAAATATTTATTGTCTCAAGTTAGGGCTGCTGTCAATCTCTGACACACTGAGCCAGAGATTCAAACACACCTCTCACGCTCTGTCACACGTCTATTGTCTCATGTAGGCCGAATCAAAAAACAAATTCATTACTCATGACGAAGCTATACAGATGATCAGGACAAGAGCGAGAAATATCCAAAAATCTATCACGTTGATTTGTAAAAGCAGCACAGCCTCCCTCTCTCTTTCTTCTCTCAGACCATGCACACAAGGGACACTTTGTATGTCTAACTCTGAAACTGTTACGAGTCCCAGGAGAAGACCAGGGCCATACAAAACCAACCTCAATGCTGAAACCTTGTAAATATATACTATATGTGTATATAGACAATGACTCAACAAAACAAATGCGTCGAGACATTGTCACTGATGATATTTTAGTTAGAGTTAAAAAGGCAAGGAAAAAAAGATTAGTCTGTGTATTCAAAATCTGCTGTGTATGAAATAAATCAAATGGAAAGTTATTATTAAAACACTCAAAAAAGACGGAAAACATAAATTAACAAAAGAAGAAGTAATGTACCGGTGAAGACGCGCATCATTAGGTGGGCCCAGGACAGACTCCAATAGAAATAAGCAGAACACAAACAGATGTACATCTGTGGCTGTATTAAATATTATAGCTGGCATTCAGTAGTTACTTTGATGGCTGTTTAGCTTTTATAGCATGAAATGCTTGGATCTGATAAATAATATCGTGTTTTAGTAAATATATAAGTTGAGCCACTGTGGCAAACAGCTGATACAGAAAACATATAAAATGTAAATTGTAAAAAAACAAAAACAACAAAAAATAATGTGCCGATACAAAGTTTGACATCAGCAGCATGTTTCAGTAACATGTTGCTAAAAAGATTTGCTTTTCCTAAAATAAATGATTTGGCATTTCAATAAGTTATCTAGCTTTCGAGATTTGCTCAATCTGCCCTCACCCCCACAGCGTTTCAAATGAAAAGACGAGATTGGGAAAGAAGGGAGTGTGCACAAATGTGTGCTTACGCCACATTTGTGCCATACGTGTAAAAAAAAATATAGTCAAAAACACATTGCTGAAAGTAACATGTCCTTTCATGACCATGAGTAGTCAGAGAGTACACTGACGGATGGACTTGTGCATTCTTGCTGTTGATTTAAAACAAAACAAAACAAGGAGTCTGGTTTGAGCCATGGGAAACAGTCTCATAATCATACTTTTGGCAGTTAGTGTGATCTTAATGTAACTCTCAGGAAGGCATTTTCTTGTCAGATAAAAACATCTGACGTTAATGCCCTACAGCCTGAGTTTGACATTGAATTATTTGCTTATTACCCGTTAATCCGCAGTAACCCTACTGAAAAGAAGAACTAGTGAACACAGGAAGAAAAGCAGTGAGTAGAGATGTCATTGTCAGCAGTTTATTGATATTTTGCAAGCAGAAAAACAAGACTTAAAATGAGCCACACAACCAGTAAGTGGGAGCTAACGAGCAGCAGGGCAATGGGATAAAAGTGTCGTGATGCTGGTTTGTTCTCTGTCATGGCGCCAGCCTCAGGGTCCTCCCACTGCCCAATGTCTCCCTGGGTCAGTCGACTGCAGGAGTGCCCATCAGAATGAAAACAGAACGAACAGAGACAGAGTGTGAAAACACTAGTGTTAGTCCAGTATAGATGCTGTCTAAGTAGGCTTTCTAGGAAAGGTCAGTTGATAAAGAGACCTGACAGGGCTAGTAGCACAAGGCCCACTTAGACCCAGAGGTATTAGTACAGCCTGAATGCAGAATAGCAGCCACAGACAAGTAGACAGTGACAGGTGGAGTAAAAGTGTGAGAACCATGCCATGAAAAACACTGCAGTGTAAGCCATGAAGAAATGGCCTGAGTGAAGTATGAACACGGTCCTAAGTAAACAATCTTTTTTATAGCAGCAGTTTGAAACATGAGACTTGTTTTTTCACATAGCTGATTTCCTTTCTGTGAAATCATTCACATCAGGCTTAGGACAGATTAGCATCACTGTCAGCAGCATTTAAAATATGTTTAGCAAATAGTGGAACTACTTAGATGAGCGAGGACCTTTGTTTTCATTTTTCTCCTTTCTGCCCCACCTCATATCTTTTCACTTGTGCCAGATATTCCAGTCGGTCAGATCATCCTGTTGTCCTTCTGTGTCTTTGAACTTTTGTCTCCAGTACCTCCCATCTCCTTTTCCCTTCTTCGAAAGATTTATTGTACCCTTGTGAACTCTGGCGAGTATATTCTGCAACCTATCTGCAACACTTTTTGCTTTTTTCCATTAATTCATTAAAATGCCCTTTGTTTACTGAATTCTTTTGCTTTTGGCGTCTGATTGCAAATAATTTTGGAACCACTTTCAGTTAAAAAAACAACTGCACAGATGGGGAGAGGGACAGGAAACATGTCGTCAACCAGTCACAATCTCACTCGGACTGACTGCACTTGTAAACAGATTTCTGAAGACTTGCAAATATTTGCTGTCTAATTCATACATGCAGACAGATTGCGAACAAGCTGCAATCAATCGGAGTCAGTCTGCACTTATATCTGCAACATGTCAATGCATTTAGTTGCATTACGGGCTTGACTCAAGTGGCTGTCGGTTGGTTGAACTGGTTAAAACAAGGCCGTCATTTGGTAGTTAAAATGCTGTTGTGCAGCTACTACGTCACTATTTGTGGAGGAATTTCTGAATGAATATTTATAATCTAATAATTTCTTGCTGGACTGTGAATGTAAAGTTCTAGCAGCAGATTTATCAACTTTAATCTCAGTATTATCTCTAAGAGAAGAGAATGGGGTCAAGTAATTGTCAACTTGACATCATCAACTGGAAAATTATAAAACACTGACAGCTGACTGACCCATGTCAAAAGTATTGAGACTTCCAAGCATCCGGATGCAACAATATTGGTCATGTTGTGGTCTGCAACCACAGTTTAACCTGCAACATTAATGAATGCATGCTTTAACTACTGTGTCATTTGAGGCCATCTGTATTTCTTCATGCACTGACATCAGGTGAAAATTCATCTAACTTGAAAAAGTCACTGTTCTCAGTGAAAATGAGTGAGACAACAGACGCTGACGTTTTATCATTTTAGATATCCATCATGGTCCTTTCACTGTAAAATTCACTATACTGACTATTCCTTTTCTTCCTACAGTAAAGCAGCCGTATGGCATGTGTGCAAATCTTTCAAATATCACAAGAATAGCCCTGGCCTACCCAAAACAGAAACTTTATCTTTAAAATGTTCCCCTCACAGTTTATACATCTCTGCAGTCACAAGCTTAATTAACTGGGGTTCTCACTGAATATAATTTGGTACTGTTTTGGTTCACGGCTTTACATTGTTTCTGTTCATTTGCAGTTTTAGGAAGAACCTTTTTGTCCTGATTGCACACTGTAAACCATCCCATCAGTTAAAATGTTACTTATTACTAAAGGTTCTTGTATAATTGTATTAAAGCTGTGTTTGTGTCGTTAAGAGTTTCTGTCTTCATTCCATCACCTGCCATCAGCTGTCCCATACAGGTCAGTCCCACGGACATTTCAGATGTGCATTTCACCAGTGCCCTTGCCAAAGTTATGCAGTTAAACCTCATGAGATTTAGGCAGATGTGAATGTTTCCCTGCTGGCAAACACACAAACACTAAACTACAGGACTAACAGGAACATGCATTGCTGCCTCTGAATGTGTGAAGAATGGTGATGATGGTGGAGGGAAGGGAATGTTGATCATGTAATGGTGATGGGCTGGGAGGAAAAGTTGCAGATAAAATGCCTTTGATGTGTGTGATGGGTGGTGTGGATGCAGGTTATTACTTGTAATACATGCTTGTAATGACAAGCCTACTTCAGGCTTATTCCATTCTACTGCTAAATGTAGCAAGATTAAGAGTGTGGTAACCAAAACATTGGAAAATTGATATTTTTCTAACTTGCCTGTAATAGTATCTAGTAAGCTTTTTAGAATTTGAGTTTCAGTAAAAACAGCCTCGCATGTATACTCTGAATACATAAACCAACAAGATCCTGAAAGTAACTTCACTTGAAGAGAGGAGACGACGGCAGAAATCTCTGATCACCAAGATATTTTTCGTTGAGCAAAAAATCCGCATTTATGACTAACTTTTTAAGTGCAGTCTGTTTAGGACTGGCTTCTGATGCCTCCTTTAATACTGTCTTACCTGCGCATGCAGTCCAGAGCGCGCACGAAGAAGTCCTTGCTGAGCTGGTGTTCATCACGTAAGAGAGCGCACTGCTCTAGAGTGACAGACATGGATGTTCGGTCTTTGGCACTTTTACAGCTGGTAAACCTGATGCCATTTAACCTTCGGCAGATCTGGTGGAAAGTGGATGAGGGAAAAAAAATCAAAAAACATCACCATCGGTTTGGCATACATCATGAAGGCAAAATGTTGTGAAGTGACTCATCTCGTTTTACATATCCTGACGTAGACACGTGCACACATCTGCCACGTGATTAGTGTTTTCATTTTTATGTCATCCTTGCTTCACTCTGATGCATCCCTAGTATTGATTACCTGCAGAAGGCTCACTTGCACGCATAAAAGCTCGAGAAGGAGCTTTCGCTCATTTCCATCTGCCCTGGCATTACTCCTCATTTGCCTTTGTAGTTTCAAGTTACTCATTATTAGTTGAGGTGTGCTTTACTTTTACCTCTGCCAAGGATGATTCAGGTAATGTTCACGTGCGTGTGTGTTATCATTCTTTCAAAAGTTTTGAATGAATTTTGATAAAACGTTGTAGGGATGTAGACTGAGTTTCTGTTAACAGTCCATTAAAATTTAGTTTTCATCCATGAGGTCTTCAAATTCAACTTCATCTTTTAAAAACCAAAATGGACCAAAAGTCTTATAACTTCATTAAATACGATTCTTACAAGTGTAGTGTGTACTGCCAACAAATCGAATACATACAGTGGTCCCTCGCTAGAACGCGGTTCACCTTTCGCAGTTTCGCTGTTTCGAGTTTTGTTTTCTTTTTTTTTCTATAAGAGCGAATTGTGTTCTGCGTCCTGATTGGCTGTAGACCATTGTCAATCAATCTCGCGCCATGTCTCCTGCACAGTACACAATGCGTTCAGCTTGTCAAATTTACGTAAATCTGATCGCTTAGCAGTGTGACTGTACTGTATGTTTGTAAGTTTTCTCCCCAACAAACAACAATGTTGACGAAATGTTTTGCACCATCTATGGCACCTGTGGGCGCCTTTGGTTTTATTCTATAATACTGGACTTATTTTTCTATGAAGGTTTGAACTTTGAGAGTGTTTAAACAGATTTAAAGTATCATGTCACATTTGACCTCTGACCTCTCCCTCAAGGTCAATAGATTTATCTGAAGAATCTGATCTGAAGTGATAATAATGCCATATTGAGCTGTTTATGTTTCTCTATAAAAGCCTGCTACAAACTTAAAGTATGCTTAAAAAGAACAAAGAAAACATGAATATATAAAAAATACAATATCGTTCCCTTCAAAGTAATTACCATCCAGACAGTAACAACAGTAGAAGCCTCACCGTTCCAGCAGTCCACAGTATCTCCACATTCTTTTTCTTCTTCGCGACTACATTCTGGCCCAAAGTTTCAAGTAATTCCTTTATGTCGGTCTGTGTCTGAAAACACGGTAGACCTGTTTGCACAAAACAAAAACAGAGGTTAATGAGGACAAGCTTCAGGCTGTAGATCAGGTGTGGATATTTCTTTCACAGAAATGTTCTACATGTTAAAATTCACGGTTGCTTTATAAAAGGTGTGAACCATTCTAATGGGATTATAGTACACATTATTCACCCACACAAAAAATTATGTTAATACTGTTTTCTGCACATGAACACATGAGACCAAAGATGAAGATGTTTCTTTAGTAAAAATTATTTTAAAGTTGTGCACTTACATTCTAGTGGCACCTTTTCACTTAATGATTTGTAATAGGCTTCTAATGTCTCAAAGTTCTTCTGGTTTATTCTTTCTTGTAGAGAGATATCTCCAAACCTGAGAGCAGAACAGAGTGCAAGATCGGTTAGGGAAAAAATATTTATCCTGATGGGCAGTTTGTGTGAATCCTGGCCAACCCTGCCCCAAACATGGTTCAGTGGGGTGGTCTCTGGATATGGTGTTTGTTACTGGTGTATTTTTTTTGTCATAGCCCGTTGTACGCCAGTGGTGCGAGTATCAGTTATTATGCAAATGTACTGTTTATAAGGTTGGGGAAATCTGCAGTCAGATGAAAACAAAGAAGTCACTTGTATGAGTGAAAACTCTACATCCAGATGAACAGAGTTGCTTCTTCTGTAGTGTTTCGGGCCTCTTGGTGTTGTTGAGCTGGTGCGTCCTGGATGAATGTTGGTTTTGAACATTCCTAGAGTTTTTTGGTATTTCTCTGATAAGTTTATATTTGGTTTTCAGCCTCCCACACTTGCACTAAAATTGAACTTCATATGGAGAGCTCCATTGAAAGGTGATGTTAGGTTCAACTTCAGAAGTCTTGCCTGTTTAATTTCGAATGAAATAACAAGAAAGCAGCCCTCATATGGCCACAGAACTGCTAGTCAGCCAGCTGCTCATATGCTTTCAATCTCTGAAAGTATGTTGGGTTGTTTTTTTTTTTTGTAAAACCCATTAAATCACAGCTGAAAGTCTGCACTTCAACCACACATTAATTGCTTGATTTGTGGTGGTGGTGTACAAAGGCAAAATGATCAAAGTTTCCCCCAAAAAAGCATATGCACCTAACTGTATATATGCAGATGTAATGTCCAAAGACCCACTGGATTAGCAGCAAGAGAAAACAAACTTAAAAACGACCTATAATTTATGCCTAAATTGATTCAGCAAATACACTATCAAACAGACAAATAATTCCTATTTTAAGGTCAATGCGTACAATAAGCCAAAGTTTACGTAGGAACCAGAAAGAAGAAACTTCAGAAGATTATGAAAAGGTTCATCAGAGGTTTTATAGACCGGACACAAAATTTGCTTCCATTTCCTTCAAAACTGTCACGTTTCCATGAGAGACCCATAAACCTTACCAAACTTTCCAAAAATCACAAATCTTTTAGTGCCTCTTGCAAACATGAAGAGCTGACTCGAAGCCAATCAAAACCTACAATGAATCATTTCTACCAAAATAAATTATGTTTTTGATAGAAACTCTCAGCACTCCACGCAGGGGAGCTTCCAGCTACCGGATGGAAAGGCGTCTCTGGCTAGACAATGGAATTCAAAGAGCCAAGATGAATAAAGATGTACCATTACATTTTAGTCACGTTAAAAAAAAGCAAACTATAAAGCACAACTTGGAGATACTGTAAGCAGTTGGAACTTGGTTGGATCACTGGGTGAAAGGTCATTCAAGGTAAGGGAGGTGAAAGCATTGAGAAGGCCCGTGGTAAAGGTTCAAAAAGCTCAAGGGTCAGGGAAGAGTACAGCAGGCAGGTTTCTATGCCAAAAATAATGTTGTTATTGTTTATGTAACAGCAGCTATATGTGCTTTTTCTTTAAAGCCATAATCACTATTTATCACGTAGCAGAACTAAAAACAATAAAGGCACTTAGTAAAAAAATGTGAATATGCTATTAGTGGTTTGGATGGCTCCAGGTATAACTAAACAACAATAATCTTTTAGTTTTAGCTATAGATTTAAAGCATTTCCTTTAGAAATGACAATAGGATCTGTGTTTAGATCAGCACATACACAGTGCTCGTCTTCATGTGCACTGGAGTGGAGCAAAGAATATCCAGGTTACCTTTCTGCTATTGTTTGTTGTTCATTAATCCCCACGTTAAAGAGCACCGGGAAAACTCGGAGAAGCTTCCCCTCCTTGATTTCCTCTGGCAAGGTATGGAAAACCAGTTTAGGTAATGGCACTTCTACAGTGAAGTGGTCTCTAAATGCAAAGAGAAAGTTAGAGAGAGAGAGAAAATAAGGATTAAGACGGTGAAACATCCATCAAAAAAGTAATTTGATACATTTTACCGCATGACAGATGTGATATGTTTGGGAAGTTCTATAACGTGATACCCAAGACAGGCCTGAGCAAGATGTAAAGAGAGAAACTGATGGTGTGTATACAAACCAGAGAGCCAGTGTGCGCGTTTTAGAATTCCTCAAAGAGTGGCACGGAAGTGGGAGGTGCCACAGGAGTGTAATATCACACCAGACACAATGCTCAAGGTAAGCAATAAGCAAAAACAGCTTGACCTGTCAACAGCTGTCCAACACGTGAGCAAAGGTTCTCTTCAAAGATGGGAAAGGACATTCGTGATCAGCTGATTTGAACTTTTAAACCAATGTACAAAACTGCTGTGGACTGAAGCCAGATAATATCTGTGTCAACAGCTCATCCGTATATGGAGTAAAGTTCACCTGGTTACCAGTTGTATTGTGAAGCTATGCTACCTGCAATACTATTAAATAATTCTTTTCCCCTATGGGAGGTATCTTCGATTGGGCTAAATTTTTCTTTCAAACGTTTCTCGACTGAACTGCACTAAATAAATGCTAAAGTGGTTTTTAACTTTTTGTCTTACAAGACTGTGTGAAATCATAATCACGTATAACAATTGTTAAAATATGGACTTTCCCATACTCAGTAGTCACTCTCCTTTCCGCCACTTGCACAGTGTGGTGGCAGATTTCTTTTCTCATGTATTAATCACATATTTAATCATATCACATTAGTTATAGTAATATCACTTTCTCACTTTACTATAGTAAGAGCACTCCTGTCACTAGTTTACATGCATGTGGAATGTTAACACAGTGAGGCCATTGTAATGGGAGACGTTAAACAGATAGTGGGACTCCTTCTGCTTATCAGGGATGTAAATCCTTCGGTGACGGCCAAGCAGAAAACAAGGTCATAATTCTCTCTGTGAGGGAGAAGGTATAGCCCACCGGTGAGAGGGGCCAGCATGTAAGAGTTTGTGGAATGTTCTTTGTCTGTGTCTCTGTATATGAGATGTAAGGGCGGTGGCCACAATTCAGAGATGGTCCTGGTGTTCCACTGGGATGCTCTCTCCACATTGCAATGTGTTTATTAAACCCACTTCAAATCAAGGTCACTGGGTGTGTTGCAGGTCATTGTTAAATTTTCCCTGACAACAGTTAACTACTACTTGACACAGTTCCACACTTGTTTTATCTTCTAATACAAGGATAATAAAAATAATACACATATGCATGTGAATTTTTTTAAACATCAAATAATAATTCAAATAATAATTACATTATATCTCAGTGACTCTGCATTTATTGAATGCTAGCTACTTTTGACAACATCAAAGTCCAGATATGAAGAGGAAAGTTTCCACCTGCATTCCTGAATGAGCCACAGTGAACGGATACTTGTCTAAGAGAAAACGTGTGGAATTCAGCCCACTGGTAATTATGCTGTGTCATCCTAAGACTTTTTAAAGTAATCAATTTTAGCTGCTTTTGGTGCTGAAATTAACAACATGTGCACTAGAGAGGAAATGATGGTTTTACAAGTGGAGGCCGTTGACATTTTTCTTCCCTCCTAGTTTTCCTGACTGTTTTTCACTAATAGATACACAATTACATTAGAAGAGGTGTGCAGGGGGAACAGGATAAGCACTGCCAGAAGCCTACAAATGACGTCCAGTAGGCCACTGGTGTGAATGTCTGACAAAAACATCAGAGACAGACTTCATGAGGTTGGCCTGAGGGACCAGCATCCTTAGTGGATCGCGTGCTCTGTGCCCGGCACCGTGGAGCATGATTGGCATTTGCCATAGAGTAGAATACCAGAGTTGGCAGGTCCACCACTGGACCTGTCTGTGTCCTGTGCTTTTCACAAATGAGAGCAGGTTCCCCCGAGCACATGTCACGGACATGAAAGGGTCGGTAGAAGCCGTGGAGAACGTTATTCTCCCTGTAACATCATTCAGCATCACCGGTTTGATGGTGGGTCGGTGAGGCATATCCATGGAGGGATGCAGAGACCTCTAATAAGGCTAGGCACCCTGACTGCTATTAGGTATCGTGATGAACCCGCCGGTGCAGTGGGTTCCTCTTGGTACACAGCAATACCCTTGAATATGTACCCAAGAGTATGCAGGCGATTCCTGGGGCTGAGATCCTGAGCCAACCAGACATAGTGGTGATTGAGAAGAAGCAGAGGACCACAGTTACGATACAGTGACAGTCCCAGTAGACAGCAACATCAGGAACAAGGTAAACAAGAAAATCAAGCTTAAGTTTTTCTTTTTTCACAATATGAAACACAAAGGAAAGCACATGTGATGACCTACACTAAAGTGATACTAACAAGAAAAAAACCTGCTCCGATATTTTTTATGCTGCAGATCCGTGTTGGAGCTGGTGTGAGAGGGGTCCTGGATGTTTTGCATAAGTGCGGCAATTGTATCCTTAGTGAAACACAATGCAAGAGAAAACAACGCTGTTTTGTAATGGCTGGCTTCCATTATAACAAAGTTCCTGTGTTCAGTTTTCATTGAACAAAGAGTATGAATTCCCCTACTTTTGAAATATACGGACATTTCCCTTCTTTAAACTTAGATTTCCTCTATAAACAAAGAAACTCTCTCAAGCCAAAAACATTACTTTCTATGTTTGCATATCTCAATAAAACGAGTATAGCTTGATTTGATGCTGATTTTCTGATCTCAGAGGTATATTAGAAACCATTAGAGGTGACCACATGTGCCGCAAATAAGTGTTTGGCCCGATTTCCTTCCTATAATTGGACTTGAGCAAGAAAACAAACAAACAAACAAAAAAAAACAAGGTCTCACCGTCGGCCACAAACTAAAGGCTGAAGGTCACTGAGGTCATCGGACTTGGCCTCTGTAATCTTGAACATGACTCTCTGCAGGTCTGAGATCCCCACTTCCATGTCTTCCAGCATCCCGAACTCTTCACCTATAGCGGCCACAGAAAACAAGCTCGACAGTGATGTCAGTCGTTCTCGTTGCATGCATACACACAACAGGGCATGTTTAGCTCAGATAACAAAGAACATAACTGAGAAACCTCCCTCCCTTGTATTTATTCAACTCTTACTGTTACTTACTGTTCTCTTTATTTCTATGACAAACATTAACAGGAGATATACCATTTTCCAGGTCACAATTAAAGGATGAAGAAATATGGGTGTCGGTAATGAAGGCATTTAGCCAAAAACAACACTGCAGTGACTCACCTTGCCTCACCTTGCTATGTACTACAGCTTAATCATTCACCTTACTAGTCTGACTTGCTTAAACGTGCTGGGATTTACTTAACAGCAAACACAAACAGTAAAATTCAATGTAGGTCGTGAGGTCACCGGCGTGATTTCACTCACTGTAGGTGCTGAGCAGGCTCTCAAACTGAGCAACCAGGCCAACGAGGTGAAGCTGCCTCAGGAAGCCTTTGTCCTGCATTCCCGCGTACAACCGCATGACGAAACCACAGGCCAAGGCTGCCAGCTGTTTAACACACAAACACACAAACACTAAGACATTTTCAAACAAGCAACTATGCAGCAAACACTAAACGGTGAACCAAGAATACACTGGGTCCAAAATACTGCGATTCAGCTCAATTATAAAGGATCAGAACCTGCAGCCACTTTCACACCACAACAAATGTGTTACTTGAATCCATGTTACTCCTTTTATTTACTTGCTCATGCTCATTTAATGTTGATGTATACAGCAGAGACATGCGAATGAGTCCTACTGGAGTAAACCCTTTAAATATAAAACATAGTTCAGAGCCTAACAAATACATGACTCCACACCCTGAGTTCTACAGTATGCAAACATGAAGTAATATACAACCAACATATTATATTGTTTGCACTGATTATGCTGTACTTTGGACCACGAGGGGAAAAAATTAGATGACAAAATCCTTTACAGCTCAAGCTGCTATTGCATAAAGCAGTGAATGGGCAGCAGATTTATGATTCATTCATGAGAAGAGAAAGTATCGACAAAAGAAAAAGCAAAAATCTTTCAGATTTAATTCAGATGAAAAGAAGCTCCATGCTCTGGAGGACTCCTAAAGAGTTGTTTATTATGCCAGTGCAGCCACCTACTGCCTGACTGAAGACTATGTCTCGCCTCTGCTGGAGCAGGAAGCCCTGTGGAATGCTGCAGGCTGCCTCCTGCAGGAGCACAAAGGTCATGGCTCTCTTCGCCTTCTCCACCACCTCCATCACGCAGTCCTTTAACCGGGTCACCAGAGGACACAACTGCTCCCTCCAGTCACCTGTGAAAAAGAGATGCAATGGGGAACATCTCAATCACAGCAAGCGATTTCTCTGCGAGGTCAAGCACTGTATGCTGCAGTGTGAGGTGGAAGGCCCCACACAAAAATGCAACTTGGTTTGAAACACTAAAAAGGTGGCTGCAAAGCACAAAATTAATGAACCCCTCGGAGTACGCCAGCTTGCACATCTCAAATTATAGACCGCATGTGTGTCCTGCTGCCTTTAGGCAGATGCAGAAATTTAATAGAGGAATTTTTCATGCAGACTAAAAATTTTTAGACAGCAGATACTGTAAGAATCATCCATTCATTTAAAAATCAGTGAAAGGCTTTGAGAAAGTCCCACATTTTGAAGTGAAGAAAAAAAAAAAGTGTAGGTTTATCTTATATGCATTGATCAGTTTTACTGTGGTCTGTTTACTTTAAATCCAATTATTCTTCCTAAACTGGCAACTTGGTGATTTTTCTTACTATTTCCATCTGTTTCTGGCTGATTTGAACATAAAAATATCTCAACGAGCAATAAAATTATTATTATCTCTGTTTTTTAAAAGGCACATATGAAAATTAGGGTAGAAAATTGGTAAATTAAAAAAGAAATCCTCCCGCTAAACTGTTTCGTGTTGAAGGCCTCATTCACAAACAGTGCGCCTAGAAGATTTAGCTTGTTGTTTGTATGTTACGATCTAATGATGAAGAACAACCTCATTCTTACAAAACATTTTACACTTTTCCAAAACATCATGAGCCAAAGTTTCTGAGAATTAGGATTAAAGGCCTATAATAAATAAATAAATAACATAATTCATTAAATATGACCTACTGGCTGTCAACCCCTCACAGTCTTAATTCTTAGCATCATCCCATCGATGCTGGAGAACCTGGATGTTTTTTAATAACTGCCCTGCGTTACTCATCCTGGGCTGACAGATCAGGTGTTACTGCACCACCTGCTTGTAAACCATGACCTGAAATAGTGCGTCTTTCCTGATTTTCTCCTTGGACACTATTGTTTCAGTTTCTACAGTTGAACTTCCTCTTCTCTCATTTAAGTCATCACCTCACCCTCCGCCTGTAATTCTCTGTGGGGGTTTCAGAGTTGCAGTTAATATTCATATAAAATATTTACAGTCATGGCACAAAGATAATTTGTACTCTTTCAAATATGAGGTTGTACTCGTACATAATAAAAATAAGACTTTTAGACTTTACCAGGTTTTCAGATTTGGTAAATCGCAACTGAGACGAACAGAAAAACTAAGTCTAAACCAGAATCAGTGTGTGAAAAGTACAACCCATTATTCAGGTTGTAGATCCACATTTAGTAGCAAAATTTGGAAGTAATCTTTTTATGAATGATTTTATTGGTCAGAACTTTGAAACACTTTTCTGTGCAACATTGCAAAATTCATGTACAGCTCTCTGGTGGTCCTACCACAGCATCGCAGGCTGAGGTCTGGAACTTGACTGGACCACTGTAACATGCGACATGTAACAACGAGATGTAGCTTGTGGGTTTCTCTGAGCACTGCTCGGTGTGGCAACGGTCTTGCATGTTTTCCACTTGTGAATAATCTTTGTCACTGTCGTTGTCAGGCTTTATAACCCTTCCCAGCCTTATGAGAAGTAACAAATTGCTTCTGTAAGATCAATTTAAGGATTGTGTTGCCACACCTGAATGCTCCAGACCACGTGCTGCTATTACAGCACATGTCGGATTCAGCTCAATTTTAAAGGCTCGACCCGATATAAATATATATATTTTTTATCATGTCCTGTTACAAAAAAAACTTAGAATTTAAAGAGGGTGTATTTTCTTTTAACCATTACTGTAAATGTGAAGTATTGTGAGATATCGCCACAATTTTCCTGTCTACACCAGACTTGTTGACCTTTGATAACAACATTGTGCAATAAGTGTTTTTATACACTTCTTCTTTTATTACTTAAGTTAAATAAATTATCCTGTGCAGTACATATCAGACTGGAGGCCATATAAAAACATATTGTTGTGTTTGAAAATCAAATCACAACTAGGAGGGTACAACTACTTCTGGTCATGAATCATTGGTATAGACCATAGGTGTCAAACTCTGGCCCGCGGGCCAAATTTGGCCCGCAGCCTAATTACATTTGGCCCGCGAAGCCATACCAAATTACTATTAGAGCTGGCCTACTGGTATTATACAGCTAATATATATATATTGTTTAGTATTAAGCTTTGCTTGTTCCATATTCAGTTTTTCAGCAAAACTTATTTGAGTCCATAAGAAAAGATTCATTCTTATATCTGGAGGAAGATTTTTTTTCCAATAAATATTAATGTTAGCCTGCCACTTTGTTCCAGTTTTGAATTTTGGCCCACTGTGTATTTGAGTTTGACACCCCTGGTATAGACTATATAATTTCTGTCACACTGTTATAATATTTAAGCTCTCATTGTACCGTATTACTATCAGAAAACATCAAATAAATTATGTAATCCTTGTGACCTCTTTGTGGTTGTTTATTTTGGACATGCAGCAAACTCAAAATGTGTGCAGGAAACTTGCATTGCAGCTGTGATGATGCTTTCTCTGCATCCTTCACTGGTTTCTGATAAAGTCGAGCCTCTGAGTGGCCACCAGGGGGCAGTGTTGGTTAAGCAGTGCTCAAGATGAGTTTTCCAACCATACCACATATTCTTTCTGAGCTTCAACATATTGAAAAGTTCTCAGGAGGGAAGAGTGAATCATTGCGGACAAACAGACATGCACACAGTTTGATATGTACAGCATATCAAGCTTGCCCTTGCCCTGTCATAGAAATCACGTCTTATCTCATTCTGCAAATACTGCCTCTGCACAGAGCAGGAAACAGAACTCCAGCTGTCATCTTTTCACTGGCCCACCTGTCCAAACATGCAAACCCCTGCAGTGCCATCAAAAGCCCAGGATTCACAAAAGAGATAAAGCTTCTCTCATTATTCCTTCCATGTTTGTATTTTGACAAGCAGATGACCACTTTCTCTGAGCCTGTCTTAATAAAGGTGCTCTGAGGATTGAGCTTATCTTTCAGAATGAACACAGGGGCTGATGGCCTTGTTTTCACCTGCTGGCTCACAAAGACACAATGACACAAAATGATACAAATGCAACAATGCCTCTACAGCATGTGTGTGTGACTGACACACACACACACACACGCACACACACACACACACAGCCTCTCCTTGTCGCCTGGTCAGTCTAATGCCACTGCTCTGTGGCTCTGTGTGCCAATTGGCAGCTGCAGCAGTCTGGGCGCTTGTCTGAACACAAGCTTGAGGCAGGATTTCATTGGACGTAAGGGAAGACTGGGCAGCTTGTGGTCAACAGTGAATGGCTCTGCATACGAAATGTAGCTTTCATCCACTTCTCTGGCAACAATATGAGTTTCTCATTTGCCAGTGCTTGAACAACAGGGAGTCTGCAACGCTGGAACTCTTTTCGATTCCAGCTTAAGATACTCTGAAAAATATGATGAACTACTCAATGTTATTTCTTCCCCACAGTAAAAATCTATGTACGAACGCTTAAAAATGTTTTTTTGGGCTCAGGAGCACTTCTTAGCATTAAAAGGACTGCTGTTTAGTGACAGGAGCATAAATGGAAGGCACATTACAATACAGTGGTATCACCACATGTTGCCTGTGACAGTGATGGATCGGTTAATGCATATTCTGCATTATAATTTGCATGAGGAAATTCACCGATGAGGCATTGGATTACCTGTTTAACTGAAGAGAAAAACAAAAATGTACAGACTGAAAAAAATGGGATGTTTCTGCTAAAGAAAACTTATGAACAAAATAATAACAAAAGAAAGCTAAATTAGCTGAAGTGTTAAGGTAGAAATGTCACCTTTAAACATTCACATGGCATATAGCAGGAACTCCATGTATGCAGGAATGTAGATGATCAAGATGACCTGCTGAAGCTCAAACTGAGCATCAGAATGAGGAGGAAAGGTGATTTAAGTGATTTTGAAAGCGGCATGGTTCTGGTGCCTGTTGGGCTCGTATGAATTTTCCAGAAACTACTGGCGTTTTCCCACACAGCCATCTCTAGGGTATGTACACAATTGATCAAAAGATAAAATATCTGGGCGAAAATGCCCTCATTGATGTCAGAGTTCAGAGGAGAGTGGACAGACTGCTTCAGGCTGACGGGAAGGCAACGGTACCTCAAATAAGCATTCATAACAACCACTGTGTGTAGGTATGCATTTCAGAAGGCACAAAACTCTGAACCAGGGTATACAGCTGCAGAAGACCACACTGTGTGCCCATCTTCTGATGGATGCTTCCAGCACAATAACAAGCCATGTCACAAAGCTCAAATCACGTCAAACCGGTTTGCTGAATATGACAGTGAGGTCACTGTACTCAGATGACCTCCACAGTCACGAGATCTCAATCCAACAGAGCACATCTGGGATGTGGTGGAACTGGAGATGTGCATCATGTCGTGCAGCATCTGTCAGTATGGACCTAAATCTCTGAGGAATGTTTCCAGCACCTTGTTGACTCTATTTTACAAAGATTTAAGGAAGCTGCTACTGCAAGCTGTACCTAATGAAATAGACAGTACATCCACATATATATATACGCACAGACAAACAGAGGTGGTAACCTACAACATAGATGAAGGAACTGTGATCAAACTGTAGTGTAGTATTGCTGGTTTGTAATCACGACCGAGGCGAGATCTGAATCCTAACGAGCAAAACATCACTGTATCATCAGCCAAATAAAGTCTTACTTTTGACTGACACAGCAATTATTTGGCCTGTCTAAGACTGTAAACGATGGGCTAAACAAACTGAAAATGTAATTTACCAGGATTGTGGGAGGTGATGACATCAGCTAGCTGATGTTCTGGGACTGGATCCTGCTTGGTGTTGTCTTCTTCCTGGAGTTTATCCACCATGGCGATTACACAGTTGAGACACTTGGCCACATTTGCCCACAGCCTGTCCTGAAAGAGCCAAATGCACAATCAGCAGTCAGATCAGTTGCGCTGATTACATCTGTGTCTTACTCACACTGTCTACCTTTGAGACTGTGAGGCAGTTATTTTTTTTGCACAGTCCAAACTCCGAAAAGCCAAAAGGTCAAAAGGAAATGTCTGAAAGGATATTCTGAGATTACTTTTAAAGCGTTTCCATCGTTTCAAGCTTTCTCTTTCTTCTCCTGAGCTCCTGCAGGTAACTGATGTATTGACACTTTTTCTCTGTGGATGTGTGTGCTGAAGGTAGGTGGGGGAATACATATTTTGGATATTTTCTTCTTAAAAATATGGGTTGAACACGTTATAATGGTGGGAGATAATTAGGCATTGGTGTGGAGAAATCACGATGAACTCCTGCTGTCAGTGTGGCAGATGCTGTCCTCACACACAAAGAAAACTAACAGCCATAGACACGTCCATGAAAAGAAGCGAGATGGCTTAAATTCACTGACAAGGATACCGCGTAATTATCTTCCGCAGTCAGTTTGTCATGATGAAATATTTAAACCCCCTTTGAGAAAAGAATCCACTTAAAAGACTAATGTTTGGTATGCAATCTAATTTTGTGAGTAATTATTTGCCATAGCAGATCTCTAATACAGTAATAGTTTTTGGCTTCCCCCTGTGTGCGCTCTACTGTAAGAAGCACCAGGGAAAACATCAGTTTGTCAAAACACACCGGTTTAAAATAAAATGATGACTCAATCACAATTTTTAAATGTTTCTAAATGACTTAGAAAAGCAGAAAAGGGCGTACCCATTCCTCCTCATCGTACTCTTTATGGTGGGGTATGGTGTCTTGGTGCTTCAGTGACAAAGGCTCTCCTCCAGCAGTTGTTTGGGTTCCTTCCACATTATTACACACCACTGTGGTCTCAGTGACTGACGTCGGTGGACTGTGGCCTGGAAGTCCCTGAATTGGGTTCTGATTCTGGTCATTGGTCTGGTTTGTGTGGCCTTGGTGTTGGCTCTGCGCCCGAGTCGACTTCTGGTTCTTGGAAACGTAGCCTGGCTGCGCTGCATGCAGCGCTAGGAGTGCACTCTTGACCAATTCATCCTTAAGTGTGTGAACAAATTGTTCTGTCTGCAGGAAAGAAAAGAGAGACAGATAGGAGGGAAAAAAGATAGACACTGAAAGTTACTGTTGGATAGGACAACAAATACAAATTTAAGTGCTGAAAAAGCAGAAGTTACAGAGTAAGTGAGCGGGATATAGAGAGACTGTCACGCTGCCGAGGGAGAACGGGTCGAAGAAAACACTGGTGGAGGCGAACTTGGAAGCAAGTAACTATTTTACAGAGGAAGTGAAAAGAAATAAGCAAAATGAACCCTCTCCTTCACCATAAAGGAGGTGCTCTCCATTACTGCAGCGCAGTCAGTAAGCCAAAAGAAAAGAAAAAAAAGAAAAGAAACAAAGAACAAACAATTCAATTACTCCTCCTCCAGCCTGCTGCTCCGTGGAGCACACCTCCTTTGATCTTAAATTCACCAGCTACTGTAAGTTGATGATGATCCCGGTACCAAGGAGTCTTACACCCGCCGCCGCCGCTGCGTAAAAAATGATAAGGGCTCTCGAGAGTAATTGAGTTACCACTGCAATAAGCAATTCTATTACCACAGGAAATGCAGTCGAACAAAACACATAAGCCAAGCCCTCCATGAAAAGAAACCTACGAGGTCATTACATACATATATTTTCCACACAAACAGCCCTTTCCTGCTCCTATACCTCTCTTCCGTTGACTGAATAGTGAGATTATTGAAAGTGACAGGAATTATGGAGACTGCTTCGTCAGCAAGAAGGTAGGTAACTATTTAAAAACGTCCTGTCCCAGAAACAGAACTGACAAAAGCTGCGTGTGGATGAAGTGTTTCTGAACTTTCCTCAGCTCGTGACCCATTTAAAATACGGTAGTGCCAGCTTGTTGATTTGTTAAGGCGAACATCTATTATTCATTGCAGATAACATCAACGTGATCAATATGGGGACACACTGGCCATAATCAGATCACAACAGCCAAAATTTAGGGCCTTCTGATGGATATCCGGGGCCAAGACTTCCTGTTCTGTGCGGCGGTCATTAATCGTGAATGCAGACAGATTCTAAAAAGTGAATTAAAAACCTAAATGGTTGTCGGATGATAGCTGGTGCTTCCAAGATTGCACTTTGGCAAATGTGTTCTCTCCTTTGGTCCTTAATAGATACTGTCTACCTGCAAGTAAAGCCTCTTTAAATGTGATCAAACCTGGATGACAATGCAACACCACAAAGGTCATTTGCAGTGCCAACAATCTTTATTCCTTGGCAAACGATTCTTCATAATAATATACATTTATAAAGATAATATAATGCAAGTAAAAGGCATTCTCATTTTTTGCTTTTATTCCTCTGCAGGTGATTTTAAGCTACTTTTTTTTGTCACTTATATTTTACCATGCAATCAAACCCCCGTGAGTTTAAAGTCATCACACTTCACCAGTTATCTTTCTCCTTGTCCTTCTTAAGCCAATCAGTAACAACATCATGTACAGGGAGATGTAACCAAGGCCAAAATGATTCTGTTTTTTGGGAGTCAACTAACATGTTAATAGCCACTAATTAGTTAATTCACATTTTCTCAAACTTTTTGAGTCACTCTTCTAATGATCTTTGGTATAATAAAGTATACATAAATAATAATCATTAATAATACAGTTGTTGCTTCTGTTGATTTTTCAATACTCATCAATATGAATGAGCAGAAAAAAGAAGAAGAAAAAAAACATCCATCTTAACTTGTATCAGAGGTTTCGGTCAGAGGGGACAGCAACACTACTCACAGAAGTCTGTAATGATTATGACAATGAGATTCATTTTTTTTAAACTGGTTTGACATTGAGCATCTCTACCAATCACCCAATTATAGTAGAGTACAACCTGTTAGTTTAACTCTACTACCATCACAGGGGGAGCTTATGATCCATCTCCTATCCCTATTTATCATTGGGTTTGACCATCAAAGTATGCTGTTGGATGTTGGATCCATGGATTTCATTTGGTCCTGACTGCCACAACATTCCCAGGAATTTGTGTCTCTTCCTTGAAACAGGGATCTTTCACACACTACTCAAATGTGTTAACTATACTATGTAGCCACTATTGTGTGCAACTGTTCTTCTTCTTTTGGCTGCTCCCTTTAGGTATCGCCAAAGCAGATCATATGCCTTGGTGTCACCCTATCCGTAACACCCTCCTCTATCACACCAACCCTCTACATGTCCTCCTTCACTACATCCACAAATCCTGTCTGTGGCAGTTCCACCTTCAACATTTGTCCAATGTGTCCACATTCCTTTGGCGCTCCAATATATTCAATTCTAATCCTGTCCCTGATAATCAAGGAACCCAACGAAAGTCTTGAAATCTTCAACTCTGCCGCCTCCAGGTCACCATTTGGTGAACGTTTAGGGCAGAGAAGCCAAACAACAGCTAGACACAAAACACCACTGTATTTAATTCAAACCCGCAGTAGTTCAGGAGGTAGAGCCGATCATCTACAACTTGGAAGATTAGTGGTTCGATCCCTGTCTGCCAAAGTATCCTGGGGCAAGAGACTGAACCCCAAGTTGCTCTCTGATGTGTTCATTGAAGCATGAATGTTAGGTGTAGAAGAAATTGCTTGTATGAATGGGTGAGTGAGGGATGCTGTACAAAGTGTTTTGAGTAGGAAAGTGCTATAAAAGAACATTTATATATATATATTCATTTCCCAATTCAAATGCCTTGTATGAATCCAAATGACTTATGAATATACTATACATGAGTCCGTTTGGACATTTATGATTTTTTTTCTCAGACTAACAAGAATCATTTTTTATTAAATTTAAAAAATAAAAACAAATATATTCATCCATAGGTTGGGACATAAGCATATGAAGTCTTATAAGATATTTTCAAAACACTTTTCTATATGAGAAGAAAAAAAGAGCCACATTTGACTAAGTATTGGAAACAATAAGGAGTAACTGGGCAATCAAAATGTAAATTTATATCCAAACTAAACTCTGCTTATCCGACCTCTGTGTTAATTTACAATCTATGCCACCCCATATTATTCATTTCTTGAGATTACAGAGGAAAGCCGCGTACTGTAAAACAATCTAGGTCATATTTGCACTTCATAACCATGAGGTCAGAGAACTCATTTTTTATTCGACTGTGCCAGTGCTCAAACAGTAACTCCCTCTGATGGTGAAATGATATTCTTATAAATCCGATGCATTTTTTTCAGGATGAATGTGAAGGGATTAGATTAAAAGGAAGCATATCAATCAACCGGGTAATCACGGAATTGTGTTAAAATTAAACTCAGCTTGTACCCACTAAGATTAGGATCTTCAGTGAAGTGCAGTCCAAATGTTAATGATGCACTCTACTGTAAGATCCATATAGATATGTTTTCAAAGTAAAATATCACCAGCAGATCCCTACTGGGCAAAGGAGGAATGCACTGCAGCTTTAACCAAAGCAACTTTGCTCCCCCACATTCAAAACCTATTCCTTAGTGTAACTCTTCAACACCTACCCATTTTAAAGGATCTGAAATGCTCGAAATCCCTCAGGGAGACATTCTGTTTTCTTCAAAATATCTGCTGATGTGATCTTCACTGAGCAGGAGTGCAAGTCTGAAAATGTTTCTGTGCACTCCGGCAAAAAAAATATAAGTTAGGTTTGATCTAAAGAAGAAGAACTGTGGGAATCTGTTCACCCCGAATGGTTTCAAATGGTTTTACCCTGAAGGATGAGCACAGTTTGGTTGTGATAAAAATAGAAATGTTTCAGTTTATGCAACTTCACTTTAAATGTGGAAAGAGGCTGAATGAATAGAGCTGGTCAGATTCCAGCAACACTGGGCTGTGAGGACATTTACCCCTGCATTCATGACCTCCACACACAGCATCATCTGACATAATCATGCATAGACGAGCAAACCTGCCGGTCTTTCCAGGTAACCGTTACAGTGCGGACATATAACTTGCCCAAGGACACAGCTGGAGGAAGGGGGGACGTGTTGCAATTGCCTTTTCACTATAATTATCATCAGAGTGAAATTATTATTGTCACCATCATCAACAGAATCATTACCACGTATAGAAAAGCAACAGCACATTGGCCATGTTCAAAACTAATCAGAAAGTGTGTGGCAAAAAGCACTGGAGTAAAATGTTGCACTGGGCCTGGACACAGGTGGTTAGAACTATGAAGGAAAAGACATAGGCAGTGCTTCGGTGTAAAACCTTTTCTATGGCAGTGTCATTTTTCCCACATTCCTTTAAAGTGCAACACATGCTCTGTATTCAAGAAACTTTATACTCACAGGAGAAATAGTATATTTTGTCTAATGGACAGAAAATACATTTAATTTTCTTGAAAACAAGAGGATGTTGCCTGTAACAGGGCTGCAAGTAATGATTAGTTTTTATTGTCAAATGATTATGCCAATTATTTTGTTGCAAGCTTTGCAGTATTGTTATGAGCGTGATAGTTGAACATGTTGCAATTTAAAAATGAGGCTACTGCTGCTGACGAACCAGGGTAAACAAAACAACGCTATACTGACAAAAGTAGTGGACCACAACTCTAAATCTCTGAATTTAGGTGTTTGCCACAGGTGTATAAAACCAAGCAACCAACCATATAGTCTGCCTTTACAAACACTTGTGAAACAATGGGTCATTCTAAAGATCTCACAAAATTTGAGTGAGGTAATGTAGAAGGATGCCAACATTGCAACAAGTCAGCTTGTGAAATTTCTTCACTCCTAGATATTCTACAGTCGATTGTAAATGGTTTTACTGCAAAGTGGAAGGGTTTAGGAAGCACAGCAACTAACCCACAAAGTGGCAGACGACCAAAGTTACAGATCACCGAGTGTTGAAACTCGGAGTGGGTAAAAGTCACCAATGCTCTGCTGACTCAGTAACTGCAGAGGTCCACATTTTCTCTGCCATTAACTCAGCACAAACTATGTGCTGGGTGCTTCATTGCTGTCCACGGCTGAAGAGTTTGCTTTTACATTTTTTTATTTTATTGGATTTTTTTTTTTTAAGCTTTTAAGCCTTTATTGATATGGGACAGTAGAGAGAAGACAGGGAAGCTAGAATAGAAACCAGCGTGAAACACATGATAAATAGTCTTGGAGAGGGTTCAAACCTGCAACAGCTGTATGGGTTGTCTACTCAACGAGGTGAGCTATACCAGCACCCTTCAGGCAACTTTTTAACCACAACAAACATTTATTTCATAGGGCTGTGATTATATAAAACTTTCAGGTCTAAATAATTTCACAAAAAAATATTATTAAAATCTCTACTTTTAAACTGTAACACATCATATTTTTCTTTAGCATCTAAGACAATCCCACAGTGCTAATCCATGCAAAGTGTCTGTTTTATCCATAATCTTATCCAGTGTGATTTTGCATTGGTAGCACTTTGTGGTACTAGCTAGCTAGCTGTGACTTCTTCTAAATGTCACATTTATCATCAATACTGTGAACCCTCTTTACTTCATAAGAGATAAAGGAAAAATTTTAGTACTGCTTTAACTGTAGTCAAACAGCAGATAGAAAGCTACCTCATAAAATCAGGCTAATTTTCTTCCTCATCTCCAGTCTATACGCTAATCTAATCTAAGCTAATCTAAGATAAGCTAAGTCAAGCTAAGTAAAGAATATGTAGTTTCATTCATTATATATGGACATGACAGATGTATTCATCATCTCATGTGGTCAAAAAAAGATTATAAATCTTTTCCCAGTAATGTCAAACCATTCCTTTGAGACTTTTGAAAAAAATAAACAAAACAAAATGAGTCGACTTGCTTGTGCAGGTGTCAGCGTGTGAAATACTCATATATTGCGTTATCTTCATGATTAAAATGCTTGGGATTTTAAGAGAGTCATGCCACATCAGCTTTTAAACACAGAGGCACATTCTCATCCTCCTGTCACCCTCAGAATCACTCACGTACATGAACAAACACAGCTTGAGATTTTAATCAGAGGACAGCACTGCTTGTGCTGACCAGGCCAGGCGTTTACTTGGCCAATGTGTGCATGTCTAATCAAGGATGAGAGGAAGTGGTGACAGAGCGAATGTACCAATTAAGCAGGCTGATTGGGCTCTATTCCACTGTGGCAAAAACAATCTCTCCCACAACAGATTGCAATCTGACAGCACCAGATGTAATTCATTAATTATACTGATAAAAACGCCTCAACTCCATAAACCTCCATGCTGCTATTCACTTTTGTTAGTTTGCCGTTTTTATGATGAGTTATGGATCTATTCCTGGGGTTGTCTGTTTAGTATATGCATGTCTCTGTGTGTATGTGTGCTTAATGGTTTCAAAGCAACTGCAGTTTTTAAAGTTATTTTTCTGAATATTGCAGCTTTTGTTTGTGGTGAGCCAACTACCAGTCAGAGATTATCAAAGCTGGTGCAAAGTAACTCTTTGGTGTTTTAACTCCTGTTGGAGGGCAGCCATTTAATTTGGGTTTTCATCAACTTATCACCACATTTAAAGATGAATATATAGGGCTTTCGTTTCTGAGGTAAAAATCATTTGGCACGACATACCTATGCTTTGTGTACTGCAGCAGCTTGATGTAAAGAGGAATAAAGAGATAGGTGAGATGGAAGTGATTGCAAATGAAAGGCTTAAGTGCTGCCTCACCTTGTCAGAAAGGTGCTTGAGTGCATCCCTCAGTCCAGGGGAAGAGTGCTCATGGGCAGCCTGAAGGAGCTGGTCCACTAACCTCGTGATGAGGGGCTGGAGGAGGCTCATGATGTTGAGTACCTCCTGAGCTTTGGCTGTGTGCTCTGGGGAGTAGTAGATACACTGGTAGGCAGTGCTGAATCTGTGACAGAGGAAAAAGAGAGAGAAAAAAAACATCAGACTGCAGTGCCTGGCCCTGAACTGGGAATAGTTATAGCAGGTTGGAGAGTTTTGAAAGAGCCCCAGTTCAGATAAGAATAAAACTCCACTCCACACGAGTTTATCACATTGAGAATATAGCTGCTCTGGACAGAAGCTCATGTGAGAACTGTTTTGACCTGTGATGTTGATTCTCTTAGTGACCACTTAACATAGCATTTACCATAACTAGTGCTAGTAGGTAGTGCTAGTAAGGAAATGTCCAGCACTGATATCAAACAAGGTACAAGGACCTGCTGTATCCATGAAAAATATTTTTGAACCAGTAACCAGCTGCAATGTGAATTACATGTAAAGGAGCTTTCAGCTGTTCCCTTGTATCCCAAGGCGTCATCACAGCAGATGGATCTGTTAGATTTTGTCTCGGAAACCCTTCCTGATTTAACCCTCCCTTGGGCGTGTCCTCTCCTAGAATTCAACCAGGGATCGTAAGGTGAAAGTGTTAACTCCCACACCACAGAGCCTCTGATTTAGAGCACCAGTATCATCAGTGGCTTTCATTCAAAAAAGCAGTTTTCACTTAACTCCAAACTATTTCAGAGGAACAGGTTGAGATAGCGTGCATTGTTGCCCTTTCTCACATGGTAGCTCACACAGGAATATGGTTTGTTTGGATACACATCTGGACAGACTGCGTTGGAGGCAGTAAACCTGACATCCACCTACTCGCTTTGAATCCACTGGAGAAATACCTGGGTTATTGTAACATTCAATATTAGGGACTAACAGGAAAAATATACGGTCCAACTGGCTTCAATGCTGCAGTGCATGCTGAAGAAGGCTGTTGTTGAAACAAAATTCCCTGCATCGGGAGCAGCGCTGGGCTGTTCAAATCAGGTAGTTCAAGGGTGACCTAAAGTAAGTAGTGATATCTAATTACACTGACACTTTGTTAGGTGTCTTTTTGGCACCTTGCACCACAAGTGTTAGCTCCTGATGACATCAGTAAAATTAAATACATTGGCTATTCCTATTGTACAACAACTCCACTAAAGCTTAACAGTAATCCCTTCACATCTGATCAGAAGTACATTATTCAGGGGGATCATCATCTCTATGTTGAGGTTAAATAATAAACAATTAACTGTGTTGACTATAAACATATTGTTTCGGCACACTCATTTTCCCGAGCACATTTCAGTACGTGTTGCTACTATGCAAGTGTCAGAGGGAACACTTTCCAGGTACTTAGCCTGAACTGTCAAATTGGACCTGTAGTCCAATGTCAACCCATTTTCCCTTTATGAATAATGAATCCTCTTTTCATTTCCAGGGAGCTATTTAATCGCAGACAAAAACACCTTTTGTCAGTTCTAGATTCGGGGCAAATCACTCCAATCAAACATTCTCCTCGGGTAAAGTTCCAGTGACTTTCAATGAGTTTCTGCTGACTTCCTGCCATCAAATGTAGCGTGGAGCGAGGCATTCATTTGCAACCCTCCGAGACAATTTCGAGTGCAAACCTCTATGTAGGCCAGACCCCAGAGCCACATCCTAAGGCATAATTGACATAAGAAAGAGAGTGAAAAGAAAAGACGGAGATGAAGGGAGGGGTGCACACAAAGAGGGCAAAATATAATACAAAATTCTCTGTAGCGCTCTTAATAATTTGCAGAGAGAGAAAGAAAGTGGGTCTTTAGATGTTGCCCTGTGTGAAACTCTGTTACCTGATGTATCAATAAATGTGAAAAGCTGAAGGCCTTAAGAAATTAGCCGTAGTAGATACCAGCTACCAACTATGTGTGACTGGCTAACTTTAAACTCTTGGCCTTGTCATTACAGCTAATGAGCCCCCTGGAGGACTACCACCCACAAGCTTAAAGCTAATCAAAGCAATCACTAAGTGAGATGGAGACACAGGGAAAACTGTGTGAAGTACTACACCACACAGAACCCCAACATTACTACTTACTCACTTCTATTATCCCCACTTCCACAACCATACCACCAAACGCTATGATACGCACCACACAGAATTCTTAAAGTGAATAATCTACTGCAACAAAGTAAAGTCTGTAATACCTTTTCATCCCCTGTGAGCTTACATCTGTCTTAGTACATTATGCAGAACTAAAGAGAAACCAAAAAGAAAATCCTTCAGGACTGCAACAACAAAGACACTTCAGAAAAGAGGCAAAGGAGAAAGTTGTAGGAAGAGGACAACTGCTTCAGCAACTCAGATTCAATAACAGCCCTGTTGACTCATAAGAACAAATCCAATCCCATTAGGGAGCCTTTGCAGGCAATAATGAATGTTGGGACCCGCCACCTGATGCTAGAGGACAGAATTGATCCCCTCTAAGGCCGGCTAAGGCGAGGAACTTTAATTGCCTCATCAGCATGGCTGTCAGTTCAAGCAGGTCTACCAAGATAGCAAATGGTGCAAAGGTAAAACAGCATAAATCTGTGAATGCAAATCTGTGAAACTTAATGAGTGGGCAAAAGGGCAGCACAGGAGGATGTGTCATTTCAAGCCCTGGGTGCGTTTTCCACCTTTGATGTAATTTTGGAGTGTTGTGTTCCAGGTGTTTTAAACATGATCCCAAGAAAGCAAAAGGATGACAGAAATGCACAGTGTAACCCGATACTACCGAACTCATAAAATCCTCCCTCTGACCAAAACCTTCTGTTTGACTTAAATTGGTTCCAATAAAAACTTTTTAATGTTTTCTACCTTTGTTGCCATTTTATCAGAGTGTTTTGAATGCCTGATCTATTATGTCTGCGAGACTTGCATTGCAACATCATATCTAATCCCCACAAAAGAAGTGAGAAATTAATTGGGAAAGAAAATAAAAGATTCGATGCTACTAATAAGAGAATTATTAGTGCCACTGGGAAATATTTTTACATCGAGTATTGCTTTTGTGTACAATTGCTCCAAACAGTATGAGAAGAGAATGTTAATGTGTTCATTAAAATTCACAACATGAATGAGTCATTTGTCCAGCGACTATGCCAACTGTAAAGACTGTATGCATTTCATGAATATTTATGTGTATGACTACAGACCTCAGAGACTCATTAGTTTACATTTCCATACATACAGTAATGCATGAAGCATTTCAAGTGAACTGGTTTTCTTTTTCCCCCCTCAAAGGGACAAACTGAGACTTTTCGATAAACTGAGTGGGAGTTTTGCTGTTGTTATGTTTTTAATAATATGCATGTGTCATACAATTTCAATGCATCACTGAAATTCATGATTGCATGTTATGCTAAACCAGTGGTTCCCAAACTTTTTTTGCTAGCCCCCCTTTGTATTACGTGTGCGCCACGTTATTGTTTACATGAGATGAATTGCAGATTCTGTCTCTATCTTATTTTGTTTTCTATTTTGTCTCTATCTGCAGGTTTTACACGCTTACATATATACATGCAGTTACTGTCCCTCCATTTAGAAAGGCAGAGGCGTCACGGTGTGATTATTTTAGGTGTAGTTGTTTTTTTTTCCTGTGTAATAATATTCAACATTGCTATCAATAAATTTTTCAAAAAAATGCCTCTCTGTGCAAAATGGGTTTAAAAACATAAACAGCTGTGGGATACTGTTTGTCCGTGATTTGAACCGGGGGAACAAATCGTGGCAGGATCAGCCTGATGTTATTTGTATCCCGCTGTAACTTTACTGTACAAAGAGCTAACATCTCCAAAATGTCAGGAGTAGTTAGTCATTACAACAAGTGTTTGTGAACTAAAAATCAAGAATGTGGGATCCTGTTTGTCCGTGATTTGAAGAGCCCAGCGCTGCTCCCGACGAAGGGAAAACCAATTAAGCAGGGGAGACCAAAGGTGAAACCAAAGGGAAAACATGCTTCACCATATTTTCTAGTCTTTGGCTTAGAATGAAGTAAAGTGTAAAGTGTGCGTGTTAGTCCCCATAGGGAAATAGTTCCTCTGCATTTAACCCATTCACCCAGTGAAGCAGTGGGCAGCCGCCAGTGCAGCGCCCGGGGAGCAGCTGTTCAGTGGAGTCGAACCCCCGACCTTCCGATCACGGGGCCACCACTCTACCTACTGAGCTATCCCTGCCCAGTTGGTTTGGAAACATATTCAGCGATGCTTCATCTCCTGCTTTGTGTTTGTGGAGGCGCCGTGCTAGCAGTGTCCAAGCCTTGCTTTTTCTTTCCCCCCCCCCCTGCAACGGCTCTTCTTCTTCTTCTTCTTCTTAAATATGTACAGGGTCAGTATTTTAAGGGATGAAAGTTACTCAGTCAACAGAGCATTGGTGTGTGCATTATAATAAGGTTATATTGATGCTTTAACATTACAATCCTGGTATTACTCATACTTTATATCCCCAGCATTGTCCTTTATTTGAAAGTTACAGTGTAAACATTATTTTTAATGCTGTGGCTTATTATCTAGAAAAATTTAAATGTTTACTCAGTATGGAAATTTGGTCTGATTAAAACAAGCTTTTCTCTGTTTTCAACATGAGGAAGTCTTCATCAAGAGAACTTAAACTGCATACTGATTTGGATGTCATATTAAACAAAACTGGGATCAGTTATGGAGTCAAATAATTATCTTCCTGTTTTATTGTGCTCTATCTTGTATCTCATTTTGTATTGTGCAGTGTGTCTTGTTGCATTGCACTGCTGTGTTCTCTGCTTTTAATGTGTATTTTTGGGTTTGCTTTGTGCTGACTCTTACACAGTTTGCTGTTAAGTTTTCATAATTTTCATAATGGAAATGCTGTGGTCTGTGGCGTCAACACAATGAAATGAAAATGTCGGAAACAACAATTTGATTCATCTGACTATTGAGGTATGTCTGCATCGGACAATATTTGCACTCACATGTCTCCTTCTACTGTGAATATTGGTTTCCTTTCAGGTAAGGCTCCTTTACAGACAGCACTGTGGCAAGAGAAATGTTTTCAGAAAGAACTGCTGCCAGACTTTAACACACTCACTGATA